AAATATCTCTTGCCCACAGCAGTGGCTCACCTCCCCAGGGACAGGATGAAGCCTGTGTCCTGGGCCCATACTCCCCTAGACAGTGCTGAATGGACAGTGACCAACCCCTCAGTCCTATTCCTAAGGTTACTTTTCCTTTCTCCTATGACTATGAATCTTTAGATCTAGGCTTTCTCCTGAGAAAGAAAGTTACTGATCTGGGGTCCTCTGAGTCATCTTGTCCCAGCCATCCTGATTTGACTTAAAATGTCCATTTCTTATTCACTCTGTAACTCAATTCACAAATGTTAATCATGCTTTATTTATGTGAGACCTTTTGATACTCCCAGGGAAACAGAAAAGAATCAGTCACAGGTCATAGTGGGCAATCTGTCTACAGTTGTGTCCTTTGATGTTTGTGCATAGCCTAGCMTCTGAAGCCTCAGCAGGTCCATATCAGGTACCTACCTCTGCACCTCAATTTTCTTAATCACCAGTGAATGATTCTTGCCTGTATGCTGTTGGATAGAGTGAAGGGCTACWGACCTTCCTCTTTTCAGGCCTGGATGTAGCCATCTGTGTTCCAGTGGTCTTACTCAGGAACCCTGCCCCAGCCTGTTACTTTGAGGAAAGCCCTCTTTACATCTTTGTTTCTGAGGCTATAGATGATGGGGTTGAGGAAGGCAGAGATGACATTGTAGAACAGAGCCAGTTTCTTGTCCCGCTCTGGGGAAGCATTGGCCCCAGGGTTCATGTACATAAACATGGCAGGTCCACAGAACATGGTGACCACAGTGATGTGGGATGCACAGGTGGAGAAGGCCTTGATCCGCCCTTGGGTGGAACCAATCCTTAGAATTGCAATGATGATACGGATATATGAAGCCAGAATGAAGGAAAGTGGTATCAGGAGAAGGATGAAGCCCAGGATGAAATCTACTCTGTCATTGAGGGATGTGTCTGCACAGGCCAACTTCAGAACAGCAGGCACCTCACAGAAGAAGTGGTTGATCTCATTGGGGCCACAGTAGGGCAGGCGCATGGTGAAGACAGTGTAGACTAGGGAACAGCTGACACCCCACAGTCCACAAAAGATGACCATTGCCCCACACACCCA